TGGGTGTGTCAGCAGCCACCCCCTTTGTGAGACCCTGCTGCTCCGGTACCTGGATCTTCAGATATCAACAATGATGTGATAAAACAAGAAAGGGACCTGGGAGTGAGGGCATTCTCAGCTGGTGTAGCTAGTGGATCCAGCTTCCCCATGGACTCTTCATAATGGAAATTTTTAATTCCTTCAAAGGCTAAGTTCCAAAACTGGTCTCCCATCTCACCTAGGAAGAGAGACCACAGGAAGGAACAGAGTTAAGATTCATCTCCAGGAACCATTACCCCCAAAACCTACTGATAATTTTCTAAATCAGATTAATCTTGACAGGAGGAAGAAAAGAAAGGAAAATATGTCAAATATTTATTAAATGCTAAGCATTATCCTAATATTACTTCATCTAATTCTCAGGTGTCTGTAATTATCCTCATTTCACAGGTGTGAAGACAGACTCAGATTTAGAAATTTGCTCAAGATACTAAGGACATTATACGTCAGAGCTGTGATGCAAAAATAATCTGTCTGTCTTACTGCAAAGATGGTGTTTTTTCTACTGCATCATACCAAGAACAGTTTCCTAAACTGCTCTAAGAGAAAAGAGACATTTAATACATAGCACTGTCCCTGGATCAAGTGTCAGGTAACAGCTCTAAGTTGAGTTCATTAAGAACCCCCAAAATAAGGGTTCCTAAGAGTCATAGCACAGAGAAAATGTTTGGTTCTTGTGATACACACAGACTCCCTTGGACCCTAAGGCAAATTCTTAGTTTGAACATGACAGGAAGTAAAGCAGACTACTTTAATTTAGAGACGTTCCCCTCCCCCAAGTATGATGAGACATAGAACAAAATTCATCTGACATGCAGTGGAAGAACCAAAATTTGGAACTTTCACAGATACAATTAAAGTTGCTTTTAACATTCTAAGATATAGCTTCCTCTTCAAGACAATCCAGTGGCCAACAGTGCATAAACTTCACCAAACAGACCTAATATCAAAGGGTCTGGTTGCCGGGAGAACCCAGAGCAATGTAGAGACGGATGAGCAGAGGGTTATGAGATGAGTAGAATAAGGCAGGAAGAAACTCCAGACACAGCGAAATGGTGTAATTGAGACTGCGCCCTACCTCTGGACTCCCAGCCTCTGCTTCATTGAACTCAATAACTTTTCAGAACATAGCAAGCAAAAATTTCTGTAGGTATCATCAAGTCAATCCTTAAAACCAGCACTTTGATTTCTTCCCAAATGATGCTGGGGCCTCTGAAATGGAGACAATAATTGTTTTCCAAGGTTGTAGCTAAAATTACCTGATATATGTTCACTTGGACCCTGACACTAATAACACCTTGTGGTTTTTACAGAGGGAAAACTGAGGCATTAAGAAGTGAGGAAACTTACTTAAGGACATAGACACCGTAAGAATCATGACTTACTTGCACAACTCTCTGCATATTCTAAAAACCACTGAGTTATACACTTTAAAACAGGGGCCCCAACCTATGGTGAGTTGCATAATTATTTCATTATATATTTCAATGTAAGAATAATATAAATAAAGTGCACAATAAATGTAATGCATTTGAATCATCCGAAACCATCCCCTCCCCACCAGTTTGTGGAAAAATTTTCTTCCATGAGAACGATCCCTGGTGCCAAAAAGGTTGGGGACCCTTGTTTAAAACATTGAATTTTATGGTATGTGAATTTTATCTCAATAAAAGTATTATTTTTTAAAAATCATGACTTACTTTCTAGGCAATGCTTTTGACAGAGAAATACTATTTCTGCCTTTAAAAGTCTATTGGTGCCTTGTAACTCACTTTTATCAAACATAATCAAGTACTTTCTATGTGTAAAAAACTGTGCTAGATGCTATGAAATATTTAGCAAAAATAAGCTTGCAATAAAATATAGTTTACTAAGCATTTGCCAGGCATATAAGCAATTTCATACATTACCTTAAGTAATCACCACCAGTGAGGAAGATATTATTATTCTCATTCTATAAATTGGGAAACTGAATCTGAGAGGATTAGATAATTGCCAAGGAACATAGCTAATAAAAAACAGAACTGAGATTTGACTCAAATCTTTCTGACTGCAAAGTCTATAATTTTATCCATTATACTAAGCAAGTGACAAGAGAAGAGAGACCTGAATGCAAAGAATACATAAGAATGAATGGCAGGGTTCTGAGAGTGGGCAACTATGGGGCAAGTTTCAAAGTTCTAAACTATAATGCTGGAGTTGCGGTGCAAGGATGGCTTTAAAACTCTGTCTCAGTGTGGAGTCTGGGGCCTGAAAGTCTTCCCAACACAGCAGTCATCTCAAAAAAAAAAAAAAAAACAAACACGATTCCACAAAATGCATACAATTAAAAATGACCATAATATCCCAAGGGCAAACATAACTTTCTGTGTGGTTCTTTTGGTCTAGGATTCCTTGGCTATGCAAGCAATGGATATATCTCAGGGGCACATCTATGATCAGACACTCATTCTCAGTGTTTTCCAAGCTCTAGGCACTGTCTAGATGTTGGAGTGAGTAATTATGATGAATGCCCCAAAGGAATGCCCAGATAGGAGTTGATTGACCCCATGTATGTGGAATATATGAGGTTAAGTGTTAGGATTTAGCACTGGACAGCATGGGTTTTTATCCTAGTGCTGCCACGTACTAGCTGTGATTTTGGACAAATTTTTAAATTTCTCTATGCATTTATTTCCTTATCTGTAAAATGGGGATGACGATAGTACTGACCTTACAGGGTTATTGTGAGGAGTAAATAGATAAGTATGTAAAACTCTCATGTCTAGAAGATAGTAAGTACTTAATGGTAGCTGCTATCCTCATCATCCTCATCATCATCATCATCATTACCTGGTGGCAAAGTACAGAAGAGCTGGCTCTCCATAGCTAATACTTATAGCTTTCTGATTATTTTTGCTACCCTCAAGTATATTTGATATACTTCATGTGTTTAAGTGACATTTTCCCAAGGGTCCAGGCCCAAAGTTGCCAGACTATCAATGGATAGGAGGATGCTAGAAGTCCACCCTAAATTCACCCTGAACACTTCTGAAAACGTTACTTTTATATATAGCCTATTATACTTTTCTAGCTTAGAAAAGAACCTTTCCAGGATCAGAGAATGTTTCTTCTCTTCCTGGTTGACAGGATTCCTTACATTACTCTTACATATTATTTGTGTTTGGGTGAGTCTTACACTCCTAAAATGGTGCATCATTTTTGCATAATAGTTATATATAATAAATGCACAGAGATAAGCTAGTATAATGGTTAGGAGCAATGGCATTGTAATAAGTAGCTATAGGTTCAAATACTGGTCCCTCCACCTACTAGCTATGATCTTCAAAAAGACTCTTATGCTTTCTGAACTTGTCTCTTCATCTGTCAAATGGAATAAAAAATACATATCTCATATAAATGTTGTGAAGATTAAATGAGATGACATGTGAAAAGTATTCACACCAGCTGGCACACAGTAAATTCTCAATAAATGGCAATTTTTATTATTATAAAAAAGACATGAATTAGGTGAGCCTAGTGGCTCAGGTTCATTTTCAACTACATAAGAATTTATTGTGCATTTGCCAAGTATCTTACATTCTGCTACTTTCTGTGGGTACTAGATAAAAGAAATGCATTACGCGAGTCCTCTAAAGCAAACTCTTTGCTTTTCGTATGTGCATGACCCTCAAGAAAAGTGTCCTGCAACATGTCCTCATACTGGAAGGTGGGGCTGGTACCAGCCTTTCTGCAATCATCTACACATGAGAATGCGAAGAAGGAGGAAGATAAACATGTAGAGAGGCGGAGTTAGGCTTGATTGAAAATTAATCAGCCCACTCATAGTTATACTATATAAGGGCCACTATCTCAGTTTGTTATCACCCTGCAAGCTGCATCAGGCTTTATCCTACTTGTTCCTTTGGTGAACCAGGTGAGAGAAAATTCATCCAGCTAATTTATGAATATTTGGTGTTGTCCATGGTAGAAATCCAGGGGTATGAGCTAACACAGATTCATATATATTTTGCCTTTCTTTTCTTTTTTTATTTCTTTCTTTCCTTTTCTTTTTGTTTGTTTATGTTTTTGGTTAGTTTAGTTTATTAATCTTTTTGGAATAAGTATGTCTTTATGGAGAAGAATAATGCAAGTAGAAGTTTGCCTTCTTCTAGGCCATTCCACACTGTCTTCCCAGTCTTTTCGCATGTTAAAGGTTGCCCAGCTCAAATAGGGAGGAGGCCAGCACTGTTGTAGAGTCTCTTCCATGTTCAATGTTGGTTCCCAGAGCTTCAAGGTCTAATTATCCAGTAGTCAAACTGCTGTCTGCATTACTGAGCTTTTCTCCTTGATTAATTAATGAAAGAGAACAGTGTTCAGTCAAGTGCTTGAGATTAGGACAGTTCCTGAGCTCTGATGAGTGCTATTTCATGCCTCTGAAACACCAAGATATCATTGGCCCACTTTGCTCATTTTTAATTTGCTGAAGGCCTTAAGGGTCCAGTTTAGCTTCTGGTACCCAGAGGAGAAATAGATGTGCATAATGGAAGGTCTGTCACTTTTGACTCAAGAAAAGCTGTGAAACTAGAAAGAGAGATTAGGGTTATGGCGTCCAACTGATTATAAAATTTTAGAAGCCTTAAGGCAACACCCAGGAAACCAATGTAGCCAAAGTGCAGAGATATTATGTAGAAACTATATTCATCCAGGACAAGAGATCTAGTCTCAGATGAGCCAATAACATGCCATGATTTGATCTTAGAAAAGTAACTCAAATTTATTAAAGTTCATTTCCACTGTGTTGAAAGGTGTTGTAGCATCCCTGGCCCATCCTCACTTGTGGAAGTTTAAAAGAGACAAGAGATTTGAAAAATCATGATGGCAATTATTAAAATGAGAACTTCTGATAAATTAAAAGGAAAGACAATGAAGGAAAGGTCTTTTGTTTATTTCTCTACAGACACACTTAAACTTGCAAAAAGATGACCAACCTCTTGAGAAGTGTTGTCACTGTCATCGATGTTTTCTACAAATACACCAAGCAAGATGGGGAATGTGGCACACTGAGCAAGGATGAGCTAAAGGAACTTCTGGAGAAAGAGTTTCGTCCAATTCTAAAGGTGAGAATCATGTGCCAGGACCGAAGGCTGCTGGAGTTCTGTACATGCTCTGTTATATGACCAAGACTAGCTAAAAACGGCACAGTCCCAGTGGACTTCAAGCAAACTCTATGAGCAGCACTTTTGGGGACATCAGAAAGTCTGTTAAGATAGCATATAATTTTAAGAAGATGAAAGTTTCTTCCTCACTTTTCTGTGTACTCCCAGCTTACAGACTGTCAGAGTTTCTCATGCACCCAAGCTTCCCCTTCTGATAAAGCAGAAAATAAATTTGTGCTGAGACATAAATTAATAAATTATCCTATCAAATGGAAAAAAAGTATAGAAAGGGAAATCATCTACAAGGAAAAATGTAAAGGATGATTAGCCAGGATGATTAAAAACTGAAAACAAAACACAAGTCCTACTCTGGAAAGACTCAGCTATTAACTTCAAAATAATAGATAATGGATTCTAACATGGAATGTGTTAACATGCAATGTTTAAAACTTATGTAAAACTAATATATACCAGTTACTGAACTTGGTTTATTCCACTCTTTCCTGCAGGCCATACCTAAGCACTTAATCCTCTACTTAAACCTTTGAAATGTCTTCTTCTAAGGATCCCAGTTTTTATTTTCTATTAACTCTTCACATTTACTGGGTCCTATTAACCTAAAGTAATCCTCTATTGAACTACATAATGTCAAACATTCATAATTCCATAGTCCTATTTGAATGTTTTAGTTGGGTATGTGGGCTAGGCTAACCAGGTCTCCCTTGGTGTGTTACTCATATACAGAACCCAGATGATCCAGACACAGTGGAAGTCATCATGCATATGCTGGATCGCGATCATGACCGAAGACTAGACTTCACTGAGTTTCTTTTGATGGTATTCAAGCTGGCTATGGCATGCAACAAGGTTCTCAGCAAAGAATACTGCAAAGCTTCAGGGTCAAAGAAGCATAGACATCATCACCGACACCAAGAGGAAGAAAGTGAAACAGAAGAGGAAACACTGGGACAGAAATCAGGTTATAGACATTCAAGTTGGAGTGAGGGAGAGGAGCATGGATACAGTTCTGGGGGTTCAAGGGGAACTGGGAAACATAGACATGGATCCAGCGCCTGGAGGCTGGGAAGGCCAGGTAATCTATCCAGTTCTGGGAACCAAGAGGGAGCTGAGAAAAGGTACCATGGGTCTACCTCTGGTCACTCATGGAGTAGTGGCAAAGAGAGACATGGTTCCTCCGGCTCTGAAGAGCTGGAGGAAAGAGGAAAAAAGTCACATGTTAGTCCCTCTAGGGAATCTGGGGAGGAATATGAATCTGGATCTGGATCACAGAGTCAGGGAAGGATAGGTCATGGTGGTCTGTCACATGGACTGGAGACTAGTGGGCATGAATCAAACTCTACTCAGTCAAGAAGGAGTAAAGGAAAAAAACTTGGCTCTAGCTCTGTAGGTTCAGGAGACTGTGGGAGACAAAGTTATGCATGTGGTTACAGTAATTCAGGTGGGTGTGGAAGACAACAAAATGCTTCTAATTCTCATCAGGCAAGTAGATTTGGAGGGCAAGGAAATCAGTCTAGCTGTACCCAATCATGTTGTGAGTCAGGAAGTAGTGGAAGACAAGGTCATGGCTGTGTCTCAGGAGGTCAGTCCTCTGGATACAGTCAACTTGAGCCTAGCTCCTGCAGTCAGTCCTCTAGTCACAGAGGATATGAAACTAGAGAATGTAATCAACCACAGAACTGTGGAGGACAACAGAGAATAGGCTCAAGTCAGTCCTCTTGCTGTGGACAATACGGGTCTGGACCAAGTCAGTCTGGTAGTTATGGCCAACGTGGATCTGGTTCTTGTGGACACCATTCAAACTCTTGTCAAAAAGGGTCTGGTTCTAATGAATTTTCCCAATGTGGTCAACATGGGTCTGGTTCAGGTCAGTCTTCTAGGTATGAGCAAAATAAAACAGGCTTGAGTCAGTCCTCTGGCTTTGGACAACATGGGTCAGGCTCAGGTCAAACTTCCTGTGGCCAGTATGGGTCTAGATCAAGTCAATCTTCTGGCTATGGCCAGTATGGGTCTAGCTCAGGCCAGTCCTCTGGCTTTGGACAACATGGGTCATGCTCAGGTCAGTCCTCCGGCTATGGCCAACACGGGTCTGGCTTTGGACAACATGGGTCTGGCTCAGACGGGTCTGGCTTTGGACAACATGGGTCTGGCTCAGGTCAGTC